TTCGAAAACGTTCCATTTCTCGAAAACAAAAAGCCGTCATATTTGATTCCACAAAGCAATATATAAAAAATATTTGCTATTTATTGCTGTTCGCTATGAATATTTCAATGCAAGAACACTTGTAGAACGATAAATTAAGAGGAGTTTAAATGCCTTCGCCGTTACCCGGACGTTGTTCAACTTATATTCAACTAACTGATCGAAAAGGAATCGTAGTCGAGCGGCCGACGAATCGAATAAGTAGCTTTGACCTCTGACTTGTTTGTTTATGCCGGTTCTGATGCTGATAGCAGCTGTCACAGCGCAAAACATAAACGGCAATTATAGTTTAACATTGTGGAACTAATGGCCTAAATCTCATCGTGCGATTTGGTAGCACGAGAATTACGTCCGAATCGCTAGACGTAAGAAAACCTTAAAAAAATACAAGAAAAAAGTCAAAGTCACTAGTGTTACTTTGACAGTCCTTTCATGAATTCATGCAACTGATTTTTTCGCCAATGTTGTGTCGCATATTTCGTATGGAATTATTTTTTGACGAGCTAGAGTCGGGTGGCAGACCCCTTTTTATTACAGAAGAGAGCTATTAGACAATATTAAGGCTCTCAACAGAACTGAATTAGACCTTTATGGATAATGATTCACGGTAAAATCCTGAAATGTTGGTTAATTATATAACCTGCTTAGACAAAATATTTTATGCCAAGCGGTGTTGCCAGATGTACTCGTAACGAATATCAACTTTCGTGTTTTAAATATAACACATTCATTTTTATGTAACATGTACCATATATATCTTGAACATTTTCGGAGATAAAAAATACTTTTCAAGAAATTTGACAATAAACAACCCGATATAAAATAATATTTTTTTTCGCAACGCGTGCAGCTAAATACTTGAATTTTTGGTTGCGGTTCCTTCCTTGCGGTTACAGTATGATTAATTGTAAAAAGTTTTTGATGAGAATACAGATTGATGTATAAAGAAATTCAATTGCGAATTGAAATTAAAGAAAAAAAGCACAATCTATATTCTACAGAGCCTCCGATGTGCGCTTTAAAACCTAACGTTGAAATAGATATTCAAAAAAATGTAGGATTCGGGCATTTTAAAAAGAATTAGTTTCAGTAACTAGGCAAGTCCTATTTTGGGAGTCGCAAGGAAAAATTCTTCTGAACCTAGAATTTGCTTGGTTTCAAAAAAACTTTGGACCCAGCCTTAGAGGACGTTTCTGCTTGTCTGGGTGGAAATAAATATTTGTCGGTTATTGATTTAAAAGGAGCGTACCAACAACTCGAAAGTAAGTGAATAGTCTCAATAACTGTTGGTCTTTTTGCGTTTACAAGATTGATTTACGCTATTTGTTCTGTACCAGGAATATCCCGAACTGTGATTGGTCACATCCCATAAGGATTAAAAATACAAAATGCTATTAAGACGACATTCTGGTTTTCGGACGTACTTTGCATAAATGGTATCATTGTATTAGGGACGTTCGGAGTCATCTTGGTCAATATAATGTTAAAGTAAATAAAAAAAAAGTTTTTCAATTCGAATTTTTAAGTCACAAAATTAACGCTTCTGGCATTCATCCAAACGAAGACAAAGTGGCATTTATGAAGTGTGCGATTCCTCCAAGAAACTAGAGTTAAAATCTTACCTCGAGCTTCTAAGCTACTATATTAAATTTATACCCATGCTACCATCAAAGTTAAAACCTTTGTACGATTTTTCCAATAATGATACCGACTTTTCCAGAGATTGGACTGTTGAATGTGAACAACTTGTTGAACTCAACAAGAATCTTTTGACCTTTGAAATCCTATCATAAATAACGTGAAATGCCCAGAAATGTTTGCTTCTAGTACTTTATCTGTAAGCGAGGTACAAGATGATAAATTGAAACCACATTGCAAATATCGAAATGAATTATCTTTAATAATAACTGCACCTTCATTAATAATAGGGTAGTAATACGTCCTTCGTTAAGACAAGAAAGTTTAAGCTCAACAACAACAACATACTGGAATCATAATCACCAAAACGTTAATCAGTTCCTATTGCTGGTAGGCAAAAATAAATAATGACATCGAAAAAATTATATCATGTATCATCAAAATTTTTAAACTTGCTTTAGTTTTGGCCACACAATCTCTACAGAATTTTTCTTGATTTTAAATGGTTAGAAGTTAAATTGATGACCAATGATACAATAGCTTTGGAAACCGTTGCTAAATTAAAATAAATCTTTGCAACATTTGGTTTACAAGTAGAGCTAGCGTCAGATGCAGGTCAACCATTCAATTCTAGAGTTCATTTCTTTTCGCAAGCTCATGGTATTACTCCAATTAAGTCACTGCCAGGACGTCCTCCTAGCAACGGGTTTGCTTAAAGAGCCCTCCATATAATTAAAAAAAGATTACGAAAAATCGCTAATTTCCGAAAACACGGGGAATGTCAGAAAAATATGAAGTTTTGATGTTTTCATATACAAATACACCTACGACGTCTATAGTCATGTCACCTTCTGAAATGTTATTAAAAATAAGGCCAAGAACAGGGTTGCATCTACTTAAAGTAGCAAAGGCAGTTCTGTTTATGTTCCGCCAGTAAAAAATTTATTTAAACTCAATGTTAAGAGGAAGCAAGATAAGGAGGAAAGTAAAATAAACAGTGAACAAAAGCAAAAATTGTTAAAATACTAGGTTTTGCCACTTATCCTATCTGTTAGATGTGTTTAAAATTACGAGTTCATACTGACAACGCAAACCCGCAAACTGATCCTACTTTGACAGACATGTATGGTTTGTGATAACAACAGTCTTTCTTTTTTTCAAAAAAACTTCCACAGACTGTGTAATACTTTTTATAAAACTTGTGCATTCCTCCTGCGCCGGTTTTTGTTCAGTCGAACTAGCTAACATTTTGCGAATCATCCTGTTGGCTTCTTCACAGCATAACTGAAACTTCAGCGAAGAAAATCGACGCAGGAGGAATCTAGAAGTTTTATAAATAGTTTTTGTAATGTCTAATCATGTAACCGCTGTGCAGTGCAGTTTCACAGTTCTTCTTGAAGCTACTTTGATTTGATGGTAGATATTCCTGTTTTCCAAAAATTTTCGAAATTGTGTTTCAATTACTCTTTCTAATATAAAAACGCTAAATTTTTTTAGCACACAGTCATATTCCGAAACAGTTTTGGTTAGTTCAATTGAATGGGACCTTTGACCGAAAAACATCTAACTTTGACGTTAATTTGCAACGCTTTGTTTCCATGCGAGTTTCACGTTTGCGTCGTATTTGTTATGGTGACATTGCTCAAAATAATGGTTCGTTAGAAAACGATCGCAATTCGGTGCATTTATTGATTTATCTTGGTTAAAACTTGACACTCAATAAACATTAATAACACATATTCTAATAATGACTGCCGAGGTAACGATTTCAATATTTAACACCACAGAACTTGTACGGTCAATATTATTGATGCAATACATGATGTTATCCTCACACGTCTCAATAATATTGCTAACTAAAGTGCCAGTTTCAATTGTGCAGTCAAGACGCATTCATCACGTATCACCCTTTTAAGTTGATATAAGGATATGAGCCAAATCGTGTAGAATAACTGAATTGCTTGCTTACTTCAAAAACCTGATATAAAGAAATATAGCAATTATTGATTTGCACCGACAAAACGTGCTATTTTTACTTTTTCCCACACTTATCAATTCCTCCTGGGTGGGTTTTTGCTGAATCGAACTTGCAAACATTTTGCCAATCATCCTGTTGGCTTCTTCAGAGCTTGACTGAAACTGCCTCGCAAGTATTACTCTGTAGCTGCTTATATATATTATTGGAGGGAGGCGGAGCTAAATGAGGGTCATAAACATCGTCTCGGATGACTGATTCCCATATTGGTGACAGGTACAGACATGAGTCGCTGTTAAGATTGTTAGGTTGTTTATGTATTTCTATAGACTCTCGGATTTTTTGCTGGAAGAAGAATTGATTATATGCAAGAATTTTAGTTTTATCGAATAAAATTTGTCTTAATCTTAAGGCTCTTTCATGTTCTTTGAGCCTAGATGATATTTTTCGTTCGGTTTCTCCAATGTATTCTGTGCCGCATATGCATGGAATGTTGTAAAGTCCTGGCATCTCAAATGGAATTTTGTCTTTGACGGATCGAAGATGTTGAGAGATTTTTTGCTCCTCATTTAGTTCCGCCCCCTTCAAACAATATAAAAGCAGGTGCAGAGTAAAACGCGAGCCAGTTTCAGTCAAGCCTGAAGAAGCCAACAAGATTGGCGAGACGTTAGCTAGTTCTAGTCAAAATCCAAAAGTTTTATAAAAAGTAACAAAAGTCCTATTTCTGAGGAACAATTTCCCAGTCGTCAGCAAACTAATAAGACTCCTGTATAAGCGTAGAGTCAGAACTTCCTCAAAGTGTAGTTTTAAACAAAGCCATATCTGCGTTACACTCGTCTACTAAGTTGGATATTATTTAAAATGGAACCCCAAAAGTTTCGGTAGTATTATCATTCAAATTAAGAAATTAAATCTTTAAAATTTTAAATGAGGAGAAATGTTATGAACGGAACGTAGCTTAAGATTACAGAACATAACTAAATGTTCTAGGTTAAGTGATGACTCATGGTCACAGCTGTATAAGGTTTTGTTAGGGATTGAGATGTTTTGATCATGTCTCTCCTTGATATTCAAATTCTGATTAACTGAGAATGAAAACTCGATTTCAGTACGCCTATTTTTAAAATTGACCGTTCACAGCAGCTGTCGCATTTATTAGGTTCTGTGATTCAGCATCTACAAAAACGGAAAAGTAGACTTTAAAAGTTTCCTTCGCTCATGCGCTTTTGTTATAATTTAACTACTAGCAAGCACATTTCACCAATTACAGGTGTTTGAAAGAAGGAATACACGGGAATACAAAGGTGCGTCCGGTAACTTAAAATAGTTTTTTTAAACATATGCTTACCGATTTCCCTGAAGTTGGCGAGCTGCTGCCAGCAGGTAATGAGGGAACATGATCCGGACACGCCGTGACATTTGCAAGTAACCTTTGCTTTTCTGATAACGGCCTGAAAATAAGACTTTATATAATGACCTTCTAAACACAAATTGGCACTTTTTAAATCACTTTCACGATGTCGACGAAGCATTGCAGATCTTTAATGAAAAATTGTACGGCCTTTGTGATCGAAATGTATCTCTGTTTAAAAATTACACTCATAAATATCCTACTTGGTACACATTCCAGTTAATATAAAAACAAAGAGCAAAAATACACAAAAAATACAAGAAAACTGGTTTTAGGGGCCACTTAGTCGAGTTACAAAGGCTAAGGTGTAAAATTAAATCTCAGATCAAGACTGCGTATGGCGTTTACCTTGGCGCAGTGCAACAAGGTGTTTCTAATGATCCTCGTAAATTTTGGTCATATGTACACCAAAAAAATAAATCCACCCGAATCCCCGGTTTTCGGCGGTACTGTCCTTGATGATCCCCTCTCTATTGTGGAAGCGTTTGCTACCTTCTTTGAGAGTGTATTTCTCCCTTCTGGTGCTGAGCGCACTCTTTATAACGTAGTAGATTTAAACTCAAGCACTATAAATTTCTATCCAATTACTGAGAATGAAATAATAAAGGCCGCAAAGAAATTAAAAAATAAAATGATCTCAGGACACGATGGAATTCCTTCTTTTTCAGTAAAAGATTGTGTTAGTGTCTTTTCCAAGCCTTTACTTAAAATATTTAACCTTGCGCTCTCCTCAAAAATTTATCCGCGATGTTGGAAGGAATCCAGGGTCTGTGCAATTTTTAAAAGTGGTGAAAGAAATCACGTAACCAACTATAGACCTATTACAATCTTATGCAATTTTTCTAAAATACTTGACGTCGTTCTGTATGACCGTATTTTTAACTCTGTCAGAAGCATTATCTCTCCAAGTCAGCACGGATTTTATAACTCCCGCTCTACAGTTACTAATTTGGTACAGTTTACGGAGTATGCAGCAAGGGTGCTTGGCAAGTAGATGTTGTATATACCGATTTTAGTAAAGCATTCAACAAAATCAGTCATGCTGGTTTGCTTCAGAAACTTAAGCGTTTTGGATTTGCCGATGGTGCAGTGATGTTTCTCAGAAACTACTTAAGGGTGTGTCATATGTACTGTGTCCCGTATACAGTACATATCTTACAATGGATGTACATCTAATAGATATTTCACAACATCAGGGGTGCCACATGGTTCTAATTTAGAACCCTTAGTATTTCTAATTTTTATTAATGACGTTGTTTCAAATCTCAATGATACGCAGAACTTGTTATTTGCGGATGACTTAAAAATTTATACTTCCATTTCCAGTATTGCTGATTGTGTTACGTTGCAGATATCAGTAGATATACTCTTTGACTGGTGAATCTCAAATGAATTGAGTCTTAACGTAGATAAATGTAAAGTTTCACTCGTAAGAAAGGAACTATCGATTTTCAATATAGAATCTCAAATTGTTCTCCGACGTGTTACAGATACTAAAGATCTGGGCGTGCATTTCGATCAACCGTGAACCACATTGTATCTGAGGCTAACTGTAATTATGGTTTTATAGTATTCAACTGCAATTCTTTTACCGACGTTGCTGCTCTGTGTTCGATCTAAACTTGAATACGCCTCGGTTGTGTGGAATCTGATTTACTCTTGTCATAGTTCGGCGGTCGACGGTGTACAGAAGAAGTTTTTGAAGTATATGTTGTTCAAAACAGAAGGCGCGTATCCACCGAGAGGCATAAACTACGAATTTTACTTGTAAAAATTTAATATGAATAGCCTGGAATGCAAGCGGAAGTGTGTGTTAGTTATCTTTGTTTATAAATGGCTACGCAACATTAGAGATAGTCCGAATCTACTAGAGTATTTAGATATTCGTGTACAACGGCTCAATTCGCGCACCAAAGACACCTTTCTCACTGTGTTCGAGCAAGAGCAAACCTATTAAAAAATTCGCCTATAAATATAGCATGTTCCAATTGTAATTTGTTTCGGACGTGTGTCACATATTTAACTGTGGACTGAGGTTATGGTTACTATGGTTATTTTAATTTCTTTGGAGCTCACTTTGTCAACCTGCTCGAACTACTCACTAGAATAGGTTAGGTTACATTTTTTTTGTTACTATACATTGCTCTGTAAATGGATTGTTTTCTGTTGAGCAATAAAGCTATTATTATTATTACTATATGTATACGGAGCGATCCGATATTGCAAAACAATGATTTACTGATCCGGCTTTGCGACAATGCAAACGGTGGCTTTATTAAAGTTCCCATCGGAGGCTAAAACAATGTCGATAGCAAAAAATATCGGGGGACTGGTTTCTGTACGCGAAGAAATCTACCTTGAACGGCAAAGTTTCCATAATCGTCCGTACGACAACAACGAACGGCATTAAAGGTCCATCGTTTGTCATGTTCGCAGGAGTGCTAAAGATCGTGCTCCCCTTTGGTATTACGTAAGAAGCGAGACGGTTACATCAGAAAATTTTAATAGAACGACGGACTTACCCGAGGGGTAAACCGCAGAACTAAATTCCAAATTCCAATTTTACTTTATTTATTTATAGTCTTGTTAGTTCAAGTTTATAGAGAAACATTGTCAAATGTTGCTTTACCGCCTGAATCCGTAATTACTCAATGGGGAACGTGGTTAAACGCAGCCTTATTTCCCCCGAATCACTTTAACCAAATTAAAAACATTGTATTAGACTTTTCAGATTCAGCTAATTCAATTAAAAAAACTAAAAATTTGTATGAAAAATGTGAATTTGATTTATATCAAAGCTAGTTTTAGTTTTGGCTTTATTAAAAAATTAGGGACCTAACAAATGTCTGTTAGAGCCAATTTCAATAGTAGAAGAGTGCGAAAATTTGTTGAAAAGTTACAAAAGTTACTTAAAATTTTAATATTAGATGCGACGGTTGATAATGATTTATATTATTTGGAACCAGAGCATCTTGCATCATTTAAATTCGCGCCAATTACTTCGGTCGACGTCTCCAAGTACAAAAGCATATTTAGCGATAAAAGATCAAAATTAACCAAAGAAAATTTAGAACAGCATTTGGTACAACAATAATAATAGGTCTGATTGTAAAACTAAATAGTTTTTACCATAATGCTTTAATTTCAGTAAACCATATATGTAACAAATGGTAGAAAAAGCACATATTTCACATATTTTTTGGAAAAAGCAGATATATTTATGTGCGTATTTTAAGCATTTTCTGTGCATACAAATCCGAATTCATGCCCATGGAACTAAACCAAAAACTAACCACGTGAAACTATTTTTTATTTCGTTTTAAAATAACAGTCAAAGCTCTTTTATTCATTCATTATTCATTTCTAGTCCATCGCCTACGAGGTGTGTTCAAAAAGTAAGCTGACTTTTAAGTTTTATCAAAAAGTATTTATTTATTCATCAAAATAATCAGCCCAGATACACTTGTGCCAACGTTTTTCCAATCCTCGAAGCACTTCTGGTAAGCACTTTCTTCCGGCGTTTTTGATTTTATCTCCTCAAGGGGAAAAAGTCGCGGTGAGCGATATCCGGTAAATATGGTGGCTGGGGCGTGGTTCTTTTTCTGGCCAAAAAGTTAGACGTAAGAAAACAGAAGTGAGCAGGTGATGCAAAATCCACGTATTGTTTGTCCAGAACGTCCAGAATTGTTTTCCCACAATTCTGGACGTTTTCTTCGTATTGCTTCTCCCAAATGCCGCATAACTTCAAGGTTTTTTTATTGACCGTACAACCTTGGGGTAAGAACTCTCAATGTACTAGGCCACGATAATCAAAGAAAACAGTAAGCAAAACCTTGGAACACCTTGTACCACTTACAAACATTTTTTTTGCTCAAAGTAGATTCACCATATGCCGTTGTCAACATTTCAAGTGTTTTGCAGCACTGAATTCCATTCTTTACACAAAATTTTATGCAAATTCTCTGTTCCATTTTTTTAATTACCAGAAAGTCGCCGAGCACACACACACGTCTAAAAAAATTAAACTTGCAAAATGACTGAATCTGTGAACATATGTCAGCAACATGTGTACCAACATAACAAAATAAAATATTGAAGATCGAACTTGCGTAGCCCGCCCAATTTATTTATTGCTATTGGAGTGCTTTTTCCTGCGATTTATTTGAAATAATTTTTTTTAATGCAAATAAATATCTCTAAAGCGGCATATTTTATCAAAAGAAATATAGCATAAGTTTTTTACTTAGAAATAATCACTCTACATATTATCTGAGAAAATAGAATGTGTTCACCATCCGAAAAAACCTCTAATTCAAGTGTTTTCATGTCAATATTTGTTATTTCTTTTGAATAATTTATTTATATCAGATAATATGTGGAAGCTCTTAGTTACATCCTATAATCTCGCAATTTCATGTTGTTCATTTAAACGGTATTGTAGACCGGTGATTATCAAGCAAAGAGGTTATATTACAATTTTTTTCGAAAAAACTATTACAGATTTGGAGATATTTGCATTGTTTTATTTTATTTCAAGTAAATCGCTGTATCAAAAATAATAAAAATAAGTAGGCTATGGATTAAAAATGAACACATTGATATTGACATTAGCGTCGACATTCATTAATCTAAATTAAAGATATTTTACCGTTTTTTTAAAGCGTAATAAAAGGTAACTGCAAGTGATTAATATTCCATATGTAATAATGAATAATGACAAATAATAAAAATATGCATTTAAATGGAAATATCTCGAAAATAAATGTAGTGTACCTTTTTGACCTAGAAATCATTACTCACAATCATAAAAAAATGTAACGGGACGAAACGAATGGGAAGGTTATGGCGTAAAATAGCGAGATTATAGAGTGCAGTTAAGGCCCTCTATATATTATATGAAAAAGTAGAATCTAATCGTATTCACCATCTCAAAAAAACCCCCGAATCCAATTTTTCATATCGATATTCCAAATATTGCTTGATCCAGAGAGTTTAAATCGTGTAGAATTCCTTATTTCAAAAACCAGATATAAAGAAATA